CCTTCCTTCCTTCCTTCCTTGTGGTTATAATGCAGCACTGCAGGCTACTTCAGCTGACTGCTAGTTCGGCAGTTCAAATCTCACCGTCTCAGGGTTGACTCAGCCTTCCATCCTTCCTTTTACCCTTCCGAGGTGGGTAAAATGAGGACCCGGATTGTTGTTGGGGGCAATATGCTGACTCTATAAACCGCTTAGAGAGGGCTGAAAGCCCTATGAAGCGGTATATAAGTCTAACTGCTATTGCTACTTCTGCTGACTGTCGGCTGCTTGCAATTTGGCAGTTCGAATCTCACCAGGTTCCAGATTGACTCAGCCTTCCGAGGTGGGTAAAATGAGGACCCGGATTGTTGTTGGGGGCAATATGCTGACTCTATAAACCGCTTAGAGAGGGCTGAAAGCCCTATGAAGCAGTATATAAGTCTAACTGCTATTGCTATTGATGTTGCTATTATCAATTAACGCTTAATGTGCAAGGTTGGGAATTTGATCAAATGATAAGGTGTTCTAAGATGTATATATTTAAAACAAGACACGGACATCAAACAAATGTATAATATTACTTTTGTGCCTGTGTTTTTCTCTTTACAGTTTTTTATGGTGCCATTGAAAAGATTTCTGACGCCATCAGAATTTGAAACGGTATTCATCAACATTCCTGTAAGTGATATTTCCAGAAGTTGTGATATTCATGTGAAGACTGTCTACAAGGCACTGCTGGAGAATTTAGGTAGAATGAAGACAAATAGGATGTACCGAAAGGATCCTTTGAGGCTTAACAGTTGAATTGATAGACGAGCTATCGACGGAATGGAAATTGTAGCTCATCTATTGGTCTTACTCCTGCCTGCTCACATACCTACTTCCTTACTTTGTCTAGTCCACTTTCTTAAGGAGGAAGAGTTTACCAGGAGAAGAGTAAGGCCTCCTACAGAGAGGTTTGGAAGAAATGAACACGTTTTTCATTTCATACAAAGCTTCAAAGGGAATAACAACAACAAAAGTGTTAAGCTTTCTTTTGCCCAGGAAAAAAACCCACTCAGATCAGGGTTGCTTTGCTGTCATTGCCCAGGAAAATATAGAATTGGGAGACTCCGTTGATGAGCCATTGCTGGCTTAACCTAGTCCAAGATAAAAGGACAGAATTAAGGACAAGGCTAGCAGATGGTTTACTGATATATGTTTACTCGTCCACTAGAATGTCACTTTAAAATGTCACCTCCAAACCCCTGGTGGGGTAGAGGAGGGATGATATTTATCCTTTCCCCTAATCTGCGAATGAGTTTCATTTTTTAAGATAGAAGTTGAGAGCCAACTCTTTGCCATGAAAAAAAAAATACAATACTAAGCAAATTGATAACTTTTGTCTAAATGAACTGATGGATTTGAATGAATTAGTTAATTAATTGTACTTAAAATCCAGTTTTTCAGCCAAGTTTGTTTCTTTTTACGTAGAGGGTTTATAATAGGTGGGTGAAGGGATTCATTATACCATCATTCTCTTTTCCATTGTGTTTAGAATTTCTCCTCTCATACACTGGTTGGGTAGTTTTATCCTGCCTTAAAAAATAAAAAAAATAAAGTCAAATCTTCAAAAAAACACCACCGAGAAAGTGTTCTTCCCAGTTAGGGTGATGATGTCAAGGGAAATACCAGAGGCTTCTCTATTCTCTGCGTTAGAAGCTGCTAGTCAACAATCAATAGATTCCTTGTCTGTTGGCGAAAGGTTTTGTCTCAAAATTGTGTCTCCTGCCGGGAAAATTTCAACAACTTTCCTCAGGAGGCTTCTGATAGGTGTTGCGTTGAGCATTTACACATTCACATCCTTGCAGGCAGTTTTTGTCTTGTAGGAAAAGAAAGTTCTAGGCAATATGCACATTTATTTTGTTTCAAGTGGAAAAAACAGGAACAAACAATAGCAATAGCAATAGCAGTTAAACTTATATACCGCTTCATAGGGCTTTCAGCCCTCTCTAAGCGGTTTACAGAGTCAGCATATTGCCCCCACAAGTCTTGGTCCTCATTTCACCCGCCTTGGAAGGATGGAAGGCTGAGTCAACCCTGAGCTGGTGAGATTAGAACCACTGAACTGCAAGCAGCCGACAGT